AGAAGGAACATGAGTTCCTTCGAGGTTGCAGATAAGTCCTGTGGATGAGTGCCAAATAGAACAAAACCTAGGTTTAAGGCTTCCTGTCGATGGCCTTCAACCATCTAATTCCAACAAATACAACATTTATGTATGTAGCAGAGTATTAAGTCCACATAAATTAATAAACTCATAAAGTGCAGTTATTTGAAAAGTAACAGTGATCCCCAAAACACACAAATATAGGCATACAGAATGGTAGGGATAAAATAGTCCTTTTCTTGGGTACACAGATGCTCATTACATGTAGGAGATGCCAACGGCCGGAATGCACTTGCGGAATAAAAGAAGATTGGAGCAAAAGATCCTAATGTGGATTTACTGATCAGGTACGAGGCAGAGTTGGTTGGCAGATGTGGAAAGCAAGAAGTTAGAGAGGGAGGAAAAGTCGTTCGTATTGCGCGCAGAACTAGGTAGTATCTTTGTTTAATCTCAAGTAGCAACAGTAATTTTCTGGGAATTCATTATTTTTATTATTTTACGGTGAAAATATAATTTGATATTTTCCGGCCACCACACTTTCCAGACAATTAATGAACACAAAACAGGTAGTTCTGTGAAGAGCCACTTTTCGGTGGCAAATTCATTCACTAAGCTGTACGACCGAAATTGTATGTACTTATTTTTGCATATGTGTGTATAACATTAGGTTTGTTCAATAAGAATAAAAAATAGTTAGGGTTATTGTAGTCAAGACATTTCAGAAAGGTGAGGGGTAATCAAGATTGTAACTAGGTTGAAGGGGCTAAAGTTCAATAAACGTAATAAAGTTACGTAATAAGATGAATAGTTTAATGAGTGAGTTGTGATTAGGATGCACATACAAAAGAAAGAAAATATAGAGTTATGTAATGTTCTAAGGAGTCAGAAAAAACAAGCAAGCACACAAACATAAAGTCAGTAGGAGTCAACGCGGTTGTTACCGTGATAGTAGAAGTAGTTAGATGACTTTCTTTTGTATATGTAACTCTGGTTTCTCCAGCTCAATGGCTTAAGCTTTAGTAATATAAAGAAGACGAGAGCCTGTTGCCTTTGGTAGGTTGTTCTTCACTTTGCAGATCACTTTGAAGGAGGTGTTTGTTGAGATGAAATGATCAGTGTTGACAAGATGTTCGATTATCGCACCTCTTATGCAGTAATTATTTCTTTTCTGTAGCCATTCAGGATGGTGTTCTGGAACCCTCTTGGACAGGATACACGTCGAACAATCAGCGTGCCTAATTCCACAGAAACAGATGAACTGATATATACACATGGAAGTAGCCGGATGTGCGATCTTGTCTTTAAGGCCTTCGCAGATCAATAGACGGTTGGATAACAGTACTCTTAGAGTCGCTGTAAAGAATGTGCTTTTCAAAGACGCTGAAATTCTTCTCCCGAAGGAGGATATAGCAAGCTAAGTCTCCCTTGAAATCCAGATTCATGTAAAGTATTATTTCTGAAACACGTGATGTTCGTTCCTCTAAACCTTAGGTTTGATATTGTTCTCGATGAATCCTGACGGGTATCCATCTCCGATAAAGGTTTCTTTCAGAGGATCCAGTTCTTCTTCCAAGGCGTCAGAACTGCAGATGCGCTGTATCCTAGCGACAAGACATCTAATCAGATTTCATTTCTTCCCAATAGGTATCAAACTGTAGAAACTTGTTATTTGACCGTCCCAAGTGGTTTCTTTTATGAATTGACTTTCTTAAGTATCCATCAGGTCGTCCTGTTGGTTGTGTATCAAGAAGCGGAATTTAGTATTGGCATTCCATTATTAGAGTGAGTTTTTTGAAGGGTGGAAGTTGTCGAATATTTTTAGCAACTGAATTTGTGCGTAACTGTTGTCGCAAAAAAATGGGCAAGCTTTTGATTACTGTTGCCACCTCCAAATTTTCCTACATCTTTGTTAAGCGATCGGCTCCCGCCCGTCAGTTTTTTCCCAGCCAGAGTTTCTTGTTGCTAATTATTTCTGCATAGCTGGCCATTTGGTCTTCAGTGTGGAGCGAAGGCAGCTGTTGATGAAAGTTTCCACATCGATAGGGCTCTGACTGTCACTGATGACATCATTAAGGCCACCCACTTTCTCAATGTGCTCGTGGTTTTCGTCTGGAGTGATAAGATCACAGTAGATTACTGACTCTTCAATCGACAATTTCGACAATTTACATTCATTTCATCTGCTCTCGAAGATTTCAAGCACATCCACAACATATCTTCACATTTCCTTGGCTTCCTGGGCAGCCTTCTCAGCCAGCTTCTTACATTGTACGTACATTCTACGTCCCAATTCGTTTTTGCTTTCATCAAGAGAAGACACACTCTCTGGCTCACTGGCTTCCCAAAGGATTTTGCCAGGCAGCCCATGACGTCATTTCGCTTCTCTGATTCGAGCGAAGAATAAGATTGTTATTAGAATTTTTATATTTTTAACATATTTTCTCTGCATTGAAGCTCCTCTAGCAGTTTGATAGCTTTTGTGGAGGAGAGACGTTAGTGTCATGCCCAACCCTCCCTCTTTTATTCGGTTTTGTGCGCGGCTACAAAACTAGTGAGACAGTTAACTAGGCGAGTTATATTTATACCATATGAGATTAAATAAGAAGAATTAAAAATGTCTGATTAAGGCTGATAAGATAGTTTGGACATTCCTCACGAGGAATGACATTCAATCATGATTTTTGATTTACACATAACCTAAGGGAACTAGCGCCAAAAAGTGCTGCAAATTCTTGGAACCTGTCCAGTCTCTTGGTCCAGATAATGTATCTGCTACTATCCTCAGAATATATGCGGATATTTTATGTTATTCTCTCACTGGTATTTTCGATGAGTCGTTTTCAACTAACATTGGGCCTGTTCGGTCGCAAGGATGTTAAAACTCTTCCTGTGTCTAAATCTTCACGTGGATCAAATTTTAAGTTAATACCTATTGGCATTACCTCATTTTTTGAAAAAAATAGTGGAAAACCTACCTTTACTTAACCCTGAACCTTCATTGAAGGCTTTTAGCGAACGTAATCAACTCGCTTCTAAACATGTAACGACAGAAAGCAAGAGTCAGGCAACAGATCATTTATTAAGGAAATCAACGCATATTTATATATTTTCATGTACATTACTATGGATATTTAAGCAAACAAACACAGTCTTCCGATTGGTTGTTTCTCGCGTAAAGTTAATCTTTCATCTATTTGTGACTGTTTCTTAAATGTCAAATCCTCTATATGTTAACTGCATCCGCCTTCGCAAAGTCTGCTGTGGTCGGTTTTGAATCAATCTTTGTTCACATTTTCTCACGACAAATCTTGGGAACGTAAATATTGACGTAAATTACTGTCTACCAATTTGGCTAGTAGACAGCTCTCACCACAAACATAGTAGGTGTATTTTGTCTGATATTCCTGGTCTCCCCACATCATTTCAGCTTCTAGAAAGATATTTCCTTTAACATTCTACGCAAGGAAGTTAAGAGGATCTGGTATCAAGTTTTTTGATTCATGTATTCTACCTATTGACTTTTATCGCTGTATTTCAATATCCCCTGGATTACTTAAGAAAGACTTTGGTTCACTGAGAAGGGAACCCAAAGCTGTCAGTATGGGGAGTGGAGTGTCACTAAACCAACTTGTTGATACTGTTCTCATTAGACATACGGACTGATGGAGGAAACTGGCGAATATTATCTTGTCAGACTGTCAGCATACATTCTTTAATGTACTAAGTGCTGAAAATTCTATATTTGTTTGCAATAAATCCATAATTATTATTATGGCATGTCAGAACCCCAATGGGTGTGTACTGCTGATGATTCCCAAACTGCAATGAAACAGCTGTCCAGAACTCCCTGATTTTCGATGGTTTTCTAACTGATATCAATCTGTTATCAACTCGTAAAAAAATAGTAAAAGGAATAAAAGGAATGGCAAAAAATTGTAAAGAGTAGGAAGAAGGGAAAGAAAATCACAAAAACAAAATGACAATATTGTTGTTGTTAGACGGTTGGAGTCCTTCGGCAGGAAGCATTCGACAATTCTACATTTCGTGCTAGTTGACACTTGCCAGTCAACAAGGCATATTTGCAACCAACTTGAAGGAACTCATGTCCCCTCTGAGATTCGAACCTGCGTCACCTAGCCAGTGCTGCAGTCAGAAACATTAAAACTGGGCCAGCTATTCTGGCTCGCAATTGACTTTCTGTAGGACAGACTGTATTGGACACTAGTTAGTTACTAGTCTAGTGGGTCTAGTCCTTTGTTTAGTGCAGACTGAATTCATGCCATCTAATATCGAAAATTCTCAGTGCACCATGAATGTGAGCCATCTAGCATGCTAGCCACACTGCAGACTTGATTGCGGTAGAATTAAGTCTACAACTAAGATGGAACTAGATACAAAAACATTGTATACATTGAATCCAGCTTCTTTATTCTGATTGCGCAGGCATCAGAGAAAGATAAAAGCGCTTTTTTTATTACTTTCCCATTGTGCGTTGGTAGAACAGCGGTTAGGACGTTCGCCGACCATGCACAGAGTCTGAATTTTAATCTCCGGCCGATGCGCTTCCTGATATCAATGGTTAGCCTGCTAAATTTTGGCTACCGATATCCCTTGCTGAAAATTTCATACTTGTACCGAAATACCGTGTGGAATGAAGCCATAATCAAATAGAAATAAAGCTTTTAATTAGTGTCACTGTATGGTCGTAATTCAATAAATGTCATGTGATTGAACTCCTTGAGGGTGCTTTAAAATGTTGCAGAATAATCAGCTGACTAATGAGCCTTTCAAAGGTATATTGCTTTCGTTTTAAATTTACTACAGGAATAAAAATGACCTCAGTAATACCGGAAATGGAAATTTAAACGTGTCAACCAATAAGATCGTGGTATTTTTTAACCAATGAAATTAAGGAGTCAGGTTGACATTACTCAATATGTTTATATATATTTATGCAAATATTCACTGTTTATCCCTTCAAATTAACATTTTACATCAGAAAATATATATAATTTCAACAACAAAAAACAAGAAGGTGCCCAAGTTATGTGTGACACATCAGCCTCATGTTATTCCAGCTTGTATAAATCTATTAACTTTTCTACACAACTGAACAGTTCTAAACGTGAGGAATTATTAAGTATATTTTGGGAAGAATTTGAAGAGTCTCGGAATCAATCGAAAATCCCCACTGTATTACTTGTGACAACAATTATCATATTTTTAGGAATGATACTGTTCGGTGCTTTCGGCAGCAGTTTAGTTATCTATGTTGTCTTGAGAAAACGTTCTATGCGAACCCGGGGAAATTTATTCATATTGAATTTAGCTATTTCTGATTTAACGTTATGCCTTATCACACAACCATTCAATCTATTACGATTGTTAACAGGCAATCGTAATTGGGCGCTTGGATTATTTATGTGTAAATTTTCTGCAATGTTTCAGGGGACTAATATATTTGTATCGACAATAAGTATAACAGCGATTGCAATTGATAGATTTCAAGTGAGTTGATGTTTAGTTGTTTCTTTTTAGTTTTAAAAACTCAATTATTTATTATAATAAAGGTTTTTGTATTTCCCAATGAGTGAATGAAAAACAAAACGATATTGTTTTTACTGACGTTTCGCTATTTAATGCTGCTAATAGCTTTATCAAAGTATTATGAAACCGGAATTTACAAAATCTCAGCATATATATAACAAAGAGTTAGGGGGTGAGAAAATAGACTTAGGTCAAGTTAAAGGGACATATTGAAAGTCAAAATAGCAATGAAGATCGCTAAACCAAATAACAAAGGTAATAGTACATCTGTTATGATATCAAAACAAAGTTTACGAACTTGATCATCGTTCGTCTGTCTGGGGGCATTTTTCGTTGTCAAATTGATCAATTGGTAAAGATAACAAAACCAGGTAGGTGTAGATTGTTGGATGTCCTAAGTGTTTAAAATTATAAAGGCAGTGTGTGTTTCCATAGTGAACTTGCATATCACATTCGTGTTGATTTTGTCACTCCTTGGGGGAGGGAGGTGTTGTAACCAGGTTAGATTCTGTTTTAGTCCATCATTCCTATTCAGGCAATTTGCATTCCACTTGATATGAAGTGCTTCTGATATTAGACGTTCCTTGTGATTTCTGAAATGCTTTTTCTGGATGATGATTTCAATATTGTCAAAATCAATTTTGTGGCCTGATTCTTTAGCGTTTTGATTTTCATTCATTGAGAAATACAAAAACCTTTATTATAATGAATATCAAATACCCAATGCCCAAATTTTTTAAACTGTTAATAGTGAACTTGGTTTGGACATATATAACTTAATTATTTAATAATAATTCATGGATAAAATAATCCCCATCCAGTCATTATTGAAAAAACCAAAACACGTAGTGTTCAGCGAAGAGTCTCTTTTCCGCGGCGAATTCATTTTCTTAGCTGTACAATTGCAAATATATATATAAATGTTATTTTGTATGTATGTGGACATTAAGTTTCTCAAACAAAAATAGACAATTGGTTATGGTTATTTTAACTAAACAGGTGAAGATTGGTAATTGGAGTTACGTAATACAAAATCAGTCAAGAAAATTAGGTTTTAATGAAATTAGGGTAGTATGAGAGGTGGTGAGTTGTCACAAACAGTTGTTAAAAAGAAGTTATGTAATAATAAGAATAGTTTGATGAATGAGTTTTACTCACGATACACATTGGAACAAAGTAGAGAATACGAAATTACGTAGGAGGTCTAAATGAATACAAGGATTATAAGCAATTAAAGAAACAGGCAAACAAACATAATTAAGTCATCAAAATCAACAAAGTTGTTACCGTGACAGTAGAAGTGGTTGTATTATTATTATTGTTTCCTTTAATTCCTAGAGGAACATAGAGCTTCAACCGTGCATTTCCATTGCGTTCGGTTCTCTGCTAGATTTTTCACCTATCTCCAAGTCTGCCCACACGTTTTCATCTCCTCTTCACATGACCTCCTCCAAGTCACTCAACTCGCCGCTTCCCTTTCGGGTTCCACTCGAGCAATGGCTTGTCTAGTGATGTCACTTGATGGTTTCCTAAGAGTATGGCCAATCCATCTCCATTCCTTCCTGCCTATTTGTTTCACAATCGGTTCCTGGTTGGTTCGCTCTCAGAGTTCTCTGTTGCTGATCTTTTCTGGCCATCTGGTCTTGAGTATTGAGCGAAGACATCTGTTAATGAAGGTCTGTAGTTTGTTTGAAATGCTCTTCATGACATGCCAAGTCTCTGATCCGTATAGCACACTGACTTCACATTGAAGTTGAAAATCCGGATCTTATTCTTGACGCTGAATACTGTTGACCTCCACACAGACTTGAGAGTAGTGAAAGCTTGCCTTGCTTTCCCGATCCTTGCTTTGATATCCTCGTCAGTTCCGCCTGTAGTTGAAACAATGCTTCCCAAGTAGGTAAAGGAGGTAGTTTCTTTCAGGTTCCTTCCATTTATGCTGATTGCTGTCTGTTGTTGTTGCTGTTGGCCAGGGATCTTCATCACCTCTGTTTTCTCTATGTTCACCTGCAGTCCTATCTTTGATGCTTCTTCTGCCAACTTGTTGATTTTCGCTCACATATCTTCCAGTTTGTGGGAAATCAGACAGATATCATCGGCGAAGTCGCTATCTTCCAAGTGTTTGGTGTGTGTCCATTTTATGCCTGTTTCCTCATTGCCCACTGTTTGTCGCATTATCCTATCTACCGCAATCAAGAAAATCACTGGCGATAGTAGGCAGCCAGCTTGTCTTACTCCTGTCCTCACTTCGAAGGGTTTCGTAAGTTTCCCGTTGTGGATTAACTGGTATGCACCAGTGTCGTACAGCTGTTGGATGAGATATATAATTGTCGGTGGAACCCAATAGCAGCGTAGTAGTTTCCAAATCACCTCTCGATCGACGCTGTCAAAGGCCTTTTCAAAGTCGGTGAAGTTGATATAGAGAGGTAACTGCCATTCCAAGCTTTGTTCAATGATGATCCGTAATGTGGCGATCTGATCAATGCATGACTTGTTTCTCCTGAATCCAGCCTGTTCCGGTCGAAGTTTTTCATCCAGGTTGGCATGTTTGATTCTCTCCAGGATGATGCGGCTAAGTATTTTGCTTGGGATGGACAGGACTGCAGCACTCACTGAGTGACGCGGGTTCGAATCTCAGGAGGGACGTGTCTTCGTTCAAGTTGGATGCCAACAACTGCGACTTTTAGGTGTGTTCAAGTCTTCCTCATGTCGACCGCCTCCAACCATCTAATATCAACTACGACATATATAATTTGATCATAACTTTTCATGGTAAATTTAAAACGCGGAAGTTACCTTCCAACCTGCGTTGCATTTAAGGCTTTTTTAAGTATAACTCTTACTTTTTGATCAGTGATACTGCAATTGTTGGGCGCCACTGTCTTTTTTTAAAAAGAAACAATAAAAGAATATTAGATACAGATAAGCAGTCAGAAATTCAGCCAGCACTACACGTCAACAAGACGCTTTATTCAAATAATCAACAACGCCTATGAAATGAGCCTGTCTTCTCATAGAATAACTAACATGTGATTATGATAGATATCTGAGTTCATGAAATTCACTCCTTGCTTCAAATTTTCATAACAACAGCCTTGCCAATTAATTCTCAAACGAGACAATGATATAAAATAAAACGTGGATGAGTCCATTACAGTGGCCACATTTTCCCATATCATCAAATATTATCTGTCGTCAGCTGTAATTATCAATAAAGTTATGTTAACAGCGTGGGCTTTAAAAATGACGCCATCAATCTATGCGTTGTTTAACACGCTATTTTTTAGCGTCAGACATTTAAATACTTGAGTGAGAACAAATTGTATTCCTTGCGGAACTATTTATTTGATTCAAACAACGAAATGCAGAAAAATTAGGCGTTTAGTATTTAACTCTCAAGTTTGACTACGGGTTGATATCATTGAAAGAATCAATGAAAACCACCGGCAGGGACTACTAGATAGCTGTTTTGTCTTAGTTCGAGGCCCATTGGCAGTTCCCATCCACTGCAAGTATTCGAACCCATTACTTTTCGGTTACAATGCAACCTCGTTGTGTTGATGAGACCCAAACTAGGACGAAACCGCCTGCAATGGTCCTCTTACCGATATCACTCCGTGGTTCAAATTGAAAAAATCTTTAGCTGTCGATTTATGCAGTAAAAATTTTTACAGGGACAATCGAAATCACTTCTCAGGTGTTACTTTTCTAACCCAGTTGTATAGTTAATTAATTTTGTCTCTGTTCGCTGTTAATTACATGATTACCACTCATTCAATCAACCCTTAAATTCTACCGGTACGAAGATGTGACTTGATGCATTAAGCGCCTAACTTTCAGCTATGAGGACTGAATCTTTCTCCACTGTTTTCAGTCTGTGCAACTGGGTAGCAGCAGCAGCCTTTAGAGAATACGTCTTCAACCAGAACTGGGTTCTTAGATTTTAAAAAACTCTAAATTTTGTTGACCGAAATTATTCACCGATATGAACTGATGCATTTGTATGCAAACTTTCATCTCAGTTATTAACTTCCATGCATGATTTGCTTAGTAGAATCATCCACCTTGAGCAGCAATCTTCGTATGTTTGGCATGCGATTCGCCCCTGTGAAATGTAAGATGCTGCTACAGCACTGGACTACGTCAACTCCTAGCTTAGTGATAGGGAGTGAAGTGATAGAACATGTTGACCACTTCACCTATTTAGGAAGTTGCATCAGCACCAACGGATTGATTGGCGACGAAATCTCAGCACGGATCCAAAAAGCTCGAGCTGCCTTCGCTAACTTACACCATCTCTGGCGTAGGCTTGACATCTGGCTATCAACCAAGGGACGTGTGTACTGCTCAGCAGTTCGCTCCGTCCTTCTCTATGGCTCTGAAACATGGCCAATACGAGTTGAAGACATGAAAAGATTGACTGTTTTTGATCATAGATATCTACGATCTCTTTCTCACGTTAGTTGGTATAATAAGGTAAGTAATGTTGACGTTAGGCGTAGAGTGTTGGGCAAAGAGGGAAAATCAATCGAAGAGGCTATAAAGTTACATAGATTGAGATGGCTAGGTCATGTGCTGCGCATGCCTAGCCATCGCCTCCCCCTTCTGACGGGCATAACTAGCAGGCTGATATAGGTGCAGGTTGGAAAAGAGTAAGTGGTGGCCAAACAAAAACATGGCATCAATCCATGAAATCCTTAACAGTGAAACTGAGTCAGGTAGGGAGATGCAGACTTCCGAGCTGGGGCCCTCGGGACTCTAAGAATCAATGACTGGGGACAATAGGTGACATGGCTCAAAATCGTTGTCAACGGCTTACGCAGATGTATTCAGTCTCTGTTATCTTTCATATTCCTTTCTACCATTACTCATTCTGCTTCACTCTTATACTTGTCAAAACTCTGTTGATTCTCTTCACTCAACTTCTTGTCTACGTTTGCGTGCTATTTGGAATGTGGTAA